TTTTGACAGTTGTAGTTGTATGTAAGAGTATGAGTTTTGCAGCTGTATTTCATTCAGAGAGAGAGGTTTCTATGATTGCCAGCGCTTGCTCGCTTATGAAGGGTGATTAGTGAACCAAGGTGGATTATCTTGCAGGGATTTACTTGTTGTCTTGGGCTTCTGCAGGTGTCATCACTTTGAATGCTGCTCCAGACTGCGCATTCTTTTCTATAACCCATGTTTCTAGCTTTTTGAAGTTTGGGCTTCTGATCTATATACTAATGACAGCCGTTTTATCTATACGTTGTATCGCTTCACTTACGAGAATAAATGAACGGAACTTTTTGGTTTTCCATGCACTGAAAAGCGACGGGATAGCCTTGCGTTACAACTATAAGCATGTGGTTTCGTGCTATGTTTGGGAATGGTTCCGATGTCGTATCTTGGTTTTGTACCGGAATATGCGAAACTTTTGGTTGGCGTGCTGAAAATAGCTTTACGCAATTAAGGGCCTTGCGTTTACACATAAGCATCTACTGGAATTCCTGTGTGGTGCTTCGTAATGGGATAATGAGATATAGATTTCTTTCTTTGGTTATATATATAGACTCTATTGTGTACGTGCGAATAAAAACGACGAAGAACTTGCGTTTAACACTAATTGCATTCTTGGTTCTCTTTGCTAGTCTGGGAATATGGTTCTGTTCTGTTCTGCATAGTTTCATTCTAAATATTCAAAACTCTTTTCCGTTCTGTCCTACTGTGACCATGGAAAGCGGATTTATTTTTTGGTTTACGTTATTGTAAATATCGTTGGCTTAATCTTATTGGTTGGGGTGAAGGCTTTTAAAAAATGTTCAGACGTCATTGCGTGCACTGCAGCATGCGCTTCTCACAGAAAGTTCCGTAGATAAGTTGCTATTGTTTTATTCTTGTCAGTGTAATACGCGATGAAAAAATGTGGTATCGTGCCAAACAGAACGGAACCAGCAGTAAATAGTTAATACGGGGTCTAAGATTACCGAAACTTTACTTATTTTTGATGTTTGGGTTGCAAAATTTTCCGTTTTCTATTGTCTTATGTCCCGAGATAAAATGATTGGGCCAGCTATCACAGTTTCACCTGCGAGCATTCCTTTACTATTTAATATCATTAATAATACATGAGAATAATAGTCCAGATTACTCGTCAAAATTTTAGACGCAAATACTAAGTACGTTTTACAATTGCAAGAAGTGAAACCAGAGTGTTGACGGGAATGAAGGTGTGGGATAGTAGCTAAAAATTGTCATGGATTTGAGGTATAATCCTTTGATTTTTGTAACTAGTTTTCTCCACATTACTTGCTTTTGCTTCAAGATTCATTGTCTTTTGAAATAATTTATGATTCTTTTAAGTAATTGTTTTTCTTTCACGACTTATTATATAGAGAGAAATAACTCTTATGACTAGAAGTTCTATGTTTGTGTGTCTAATTAGAGCACCTGGGTGCGTGATGGAATAAGCCAAATTAGAACGCTAAGAAGATGGAGGTCATATGCAGAAGAAACATTTAGTTCGAAGAGCACCCAGACGGTTAAGAACGAAAGAGCAGCAACTTGGACCACACAATGGTAGTAAAGATTGTAAGGCGGTCGAGCACTAAGTATGAAGCTCGAAGTATGGTAAGTAGTGTGTCGAGATGGGGTTTTCTGGTATATAAGGACAATTACCGGAAGCATCATGGACAAATTTATGTGGGCTAAAAGATTTAATAGAATGTAAGCAGAGTTACGATATGGTAAGGATTAGTAGCACGTAGCTACTGTTATACAGTTACGAGTAGTGCGCATGAGTAGTGCTAATTATATATACATACACACATATACAGATCATTGCAAAGAATACAAAGGTTGTATCCATATTCGATCTTATTTTCGACAAAGAGACGATATAGTATATTAAACCAGAATCTATATACATTAGATACATGAACATTTTGCAGGATAATATTCTATTTTTTATCTGTCAAGTGTATTCATTGATTTCAAATCTATACGTATAATGTCACCACAGCACACACATCACTCATCTATTTGTTTGTATCAGTTCATGTGCTACGACGTTATAATAATATCTATAATAAGATATATATAATATGTTGTTAGAAACAATGATATTGATAGCTTTTTAGAGTTTAATTTCCTGTAATTTCTAAATGTTAGGTTGATCCTTCTTCTACAACTAGTTATAAACATCCTAATATTTCTCTTCGTCTTAGATACTCTTACGCAGACAACGCGAGAAGATAGGTCATGCGCGGCTAATATACCTGGGGCGACTTTCAGTTAGTGTAATGGATTTTTGATTTCGGGGTAGTTAAATTTTGATGCGTCTGACAATAAAAATTTAAGGTTGGGTAAATGCTTTTACGGTATTTCTCGGTGGCGGGTTATTTACCATTATTTATATGGGTCATTTGTTTCGAAAAAGAGAGATGTGGTAATTAATATATTAGGAATGAAACATTTTTTTTATCTTGGTGTTAATACATCATCATAACTTAGATTTTTTAATTCACTTGACTTTTTGATGCCTATTTGTTAATTACTACATTTTCAAGTAGCAGCTAATTAAAAGAATGTGGGGGGGGGGGCTAAGAGTGTGAAGATTCGGGGTAGATCTTAGATTTTCTTCATTTCCTCGCTTTCTATGCTTGCTCCATCATTGCTCCTCTTCTCCAGCGAAAAACTTTGCTCTACCTCTTCAGGAAGCGGCATTTATCCAGTACTAATTTTTTCGTCTGCAGACCATCCATCTTGCCAAGATCTGCATGAAGTTAGGATATGCGCTTGATAGCGGGGATTCTCCTACACCTTCTGTCGATGTTATTTGTTTGACTCGTTGGTCAAATGCAAATGCGGATGATTGATGTGAGCATGTATGGCATGCTATAAGACATAATCTTGAAGGTCTTTTCTTATTTTTTTCATAAACTATTTCTTTTGAAAGAATATCTTCGTTTTTTACGTGTATTTTTTTTCAACTTGCTATAAGTTTTTTCTTTGTCGCCTAGTTTCCATAAAATTTGTTACTAGACATATTTTCTTTCTTCTTAATATTGAAATGCATATCGTCATCGACATATTTTCACTCTTTGCTCATGCTTACCTTATTTGTTTCCAGAACAAGTTATAATGCTGAACAAATTTTTAATTCTTTTTATCAAGACTTGTGCACCTAAGTGTACACTTTGACTTCGAAAAGAAGGTAAGAGACATTGTGGTCTGTCTACCAACACTTAGAGCATGAATATAGATTGACAGACACTGCATCCTATTTGGACATTTATAATAATACTTATTTATCGTCATTGTTATTCCTTATCACTCTATGAATAATACTTATTATTATCTCCATATTTATATAAATTTAATTTTACAAATTAATCGGACATACAATTGGGCATAAGAACAATGAGAGCGGAGAACCTTTGTCACCGTTGAGTCTGGTCACTGCACAGGAACCCGATGGGACTTAATGAGCAGTGATTCTTCGAATTAAAACAAGGGAATCTTTTGTACTTAACATATTTTCTACCTGTAAGGTTTGTTTTGAGGTAATTGGTCACTTAATTACGAAACAAGTGTGTCTTTAGCTAGAGGCATTTCGATTGTCGCTGGAGAGCTTCACAGTTTCGTTATTAATGATGACGTAGTATTGTATTGGCCACAAGGCTCAATCAAAGTCGTTCATTGGCTTTTTTAATATTTTATATACTCATAGGAGTATTCATAGTTGTTTTGTCATAGGTGGCACCTTTTGTCATTCACAAAGTTAGAAGGATTTTATTAGAAAGCTCGCTTGATTTGAAAGGTTTAATAAGCCTGAGGTCTGTAATAAATATTCTCGTCTTAGCAGTTTCATCGATTAAAGATTTCTTTTCTTTTGTACATCGTGTTATGGCAAAGCAGCGAAAAAAGTGTTCCGTATCCTCTACAAATCCATCGTTGTTTGGGCACATTGGAATTTTCTGTGTTCTTGATGAAAGTTATTTGCACAAAGTTTGTGAAGATTTGAGACCACACGAATTTTACTAAAACCCATGCAAGTTGTTTTTAGAATTGCTAAGCCTTTCGGATCGTGGATGCTGTAGACTGGGTGGGGTGGGGTTTCTTTTTGAAAATTCCCAGAGTTGAAGATCGTCTCAACTCCGGGTCAAGTTTATTCTATTCCGAAAGACATAACAGTTAGGGTAAAAACTTGCGCCAAAGCTCTTCGTTCTTGCACGTATTTGCCCAATTATAACTGGTTTACGAAGGCCATAGTTGGATTGTGGAAGGGGTGGAATAGGTTGCCTTGTACACTCTGGTGCTAGGTTGTTAACAAACTTGAAAAATTAGACAAGACTCCTGCTCCAACGTCTTAGGTTAAGCGATTTCCACCCAAGCTCCTCATACAATTTATCCCGAGATGTACCTTTTAGATACGGCTAGCGCTGCAGAGTATTGAACGGATTCAAGTTTTTCCATCTGATGATTCCTTTTCAGACAATATGCGCACTTCGTGGCCGGTATGTGATAAATAACGTCACCGTAGTCTAAATGTGTTCTTACGTATAGTTTATAAAGCTCGTTGAGGGTATGTCGAGGTAAATAGTTTGAAAGATATTTGATCAACCCTATTCCTTGTCTGGATTTAGAGACAGCTGACTTGATATGGCTACTGAAGGATAACTTCTAATCAAGTACAAGACCTAGATGTTTGTGTTCTTCAACCTTTAACACTGGGGTATCATTGAATATGATTGGTGGATGGTCTAGCGGT